GGCTGGACTCCGCTTCGTCCACGGTGAAAGCCGATCCGGTGATCCACAGCACGAAGTTTATGTATTTCCTCAGCGACCAGCACGGATCAGCTCTAGGCATGACGAAGCAGATATCATCCTCTTTTGGAAGACCAAACAAAGTAGTTTCGCTTTCACAACAAAACACAGCGTCTTCACGACATGGTGGCGGCAGCAACAACAATACTACAGCGAAAATAAAAGTTACGCCTTCTTTCTTTGCGTGCACATTTGGGCAGCGTTATGCAAATCTTCCCACATAGTGACGTAGATATGTGGGGGCATGTTAGAACGAGGCGTTTTAGGTAGGCGTGGAGTCCGTGGACTCTTAACTTTTATAAAGAATATCTCTTTGGATTTGAGACTTTAGTCTTTGCAATTTTACAGATCTTCTTTATGCACCAAGAGCTTGTAACACTCCAAAGAGAAAGGAAAAATTGAAATGGCATCATATGACCCCTTTAAAAGCAGTGAAGTTTACAGTTTTCTTATACTTTATGTGAAACTATACAACTTCTGGCTGTGCATTACAAGTGTAATTCTTGTGGGTGAGTTTTGCGTTATGTAAACAATACTTTACGGACACTTGTGTCCAAGGAGGTCAAGAAATCCATGCAGCAAGTTATTCGCTACCATTCCCATTCATCTCAACAGTAATTTCTTGGCCATAGATGCTTAGTTGCTTGCCGTTTGCATTCTAAATAACCACTAGAAGGACATTGCAAACATGTTTTTCCTTAAAACTGTTGTGTAAAAAATGTTTGCGTTAACTGACAGCATGCCACAAATGCTGTTGATCGAGACTATGATGCATTTCACCCAGAGTATTACTTTAATATGGAACAGACCTGTAGGTGTCATCGGGATAAGTCTTTTGCACATAGTCCTGGAGCTCCATCTGCGCTTTTTCCTGGAACTTTTCAATTTGGCTACAGCTGCTCACACCTGGGTGATCTTGTGCATTAATGAATCAGCTGTGAGTTTACATCTCTTATACAACAACTTTTTTAATCACTCAGATGCAACATTCTGGCCTTCTTTGAGGAACTGAATTGTTGTGTACCTGGACTGAACAGGACAATGGCTTTTAAGTAGGCATATTCATATCCGTCTGTCTGCAGCTTTGCCAAGCTGTTGCAGAACTCCTGCAGCTTCCATATGTGCTCCATGACTAGTGTAATGCGTTCACTCGATAGCTTGTCTACTGAGAGGAGATCAGTTGTTAGTTCATTAAAGACTTATGACAACATTTACATCAGCACATCAGTTACATCAACATATTAACAGAGATAACTTGTTCTAGCAATGCTTCCAACATCAACAATTTTTGGTACGTTTTCATTAATAAAAAAAGAAAAGAAAAAATCTTTATTAAGAAATCTTTCAATTAAGTAGTTTGAAGGTTCCTTTCTGGTGCCTTACCAGTAAACTATCCATTTAAAGCCAATATTTATGATGATGACATAGTTTCGCTTTCACAACAAAACACAGCGTCTTCACGACATGGTGGCGGCAGCAACAACAATACTACAGCGAAAATAAAAGTTACGCCTTCTTTCTTTGCGTGCACATTTGGGCAGCGTTATGCAAATCTTCCCACATAGTGACGTAGATATGTGGGGGCATGTTAGAACGAGGCGTTTTAGGTAGGCGTGGAGTCCGTGGACTCTTAACTTTTATAAAGAATATCTCTTTGGATTTGAGACTTTAGTCTTTGCAATTTTACAGATCTTCTTTATGCACCAAGAGCTTGTAACACTCCAAAGAGAAAGGAAAAATTGAAATGGCATCATATGACCCCTTTAAAAGCAGTGAAGTTTACAGTTTTCTTATACTTTATGTGAAACTATACAACTTCTGGCTGTGCATTACAAGTGTAATTCTTGTGGGTGAGTTTTGCGTTATGTAAACAATACTTTACGGACACTTGTGTCCAAGGAGGTCAAGAAATCCATGCAGCAAGTTATTCGCTACCATTCCCATTCATCTCAACAGTAATTTCTTGGCCATAGATGCTTAGTTGCTTGCCGTTTGCATTCTAAATAACCACTAGAAGGACATTGCAAACATGTTTTTCCTTAAAACTGTTGTGTAAAAAATGTTTGCGTTAACTGACAGCATGCCACAAATGCTGTTGATCGAGACTATGATGCATTTCACCCAGAGTATTACTTTAATATGGAACAGACCTGTAGGTGTCATCGGGATAAGTCTTTTGCACATAGTCCTGGAGCTCCATCTGCGCTTTTTCCTGGAACTTTTCAATTTGGCTACAGCTGCTCACACCTGGGTGATCTTGTGCATTAATGAATCAGCTGTGAGTTTACATCTCTTATACAACAACTTTTTTAATCACTCAGATGCAACATTCTGGCCTTCTTTGAGGAACTGAATTGTTGTGTACCTGGACTGAACAGGACAATGGCTTTTAAGTAGGCATATTCATATCCGTCTGTCTGCAGCTTTGCCAAGCTGTTGCAGAACTCCTGCAGCTTCCATATGTGCTCCATGACTAGTGTAATGCGTTCACTCGATAGCTTGTCTACTGAGAGGAGATCAGTTGTTAGTTCATTAAAGACTTATGACAACATTTACATCAGCACATCAGTTACATCAACATATTAACAGAGATAACTTGTTCTAGCAATGCTTCCAACATCAACAATTTTTGGTACGTTTTCATTAATAAAAAAAGAAAAGAAAAAATCTTTATTAAGAAATCTTTCAATTAAGTAGTTTGAAGGTTCCTTTCTGGTGCCTTACCAGTAAACTATCCATTTAAAGCCAATATTTATGATGATGACACTGCCATACATTTTGAAAACACTTAAAAAAAACTGGAACTAGAGATTGAAATTCAGTCTCTATGACAATGCCTTATTGTGGTAACATTTACCATTTCAACCACAACAGGTGCAGTACTTTTTAATTTCTTGAACGTTTTGTGGGGCATCATTACTGTAAATGCATGGTGCATGATTCCACATTATTCTAATTGCACTGAAAAAAGGGAAAGCACAGACTGTCAAATTAACTTGGTCTGTTCTAAACTCGATTTCTTTGCTTTTTGATTAAATGTAATTCTAAATGTGCAAACTACTAGATTAGATAATGCAATTATATGTGTATGTTCAACAGCACTTGAAAATGATTTCTGCTGTTGACATTACTGAAACAAAAAATGAAATATAACATTTTGGCGGGAACTGGACTGAAAAATCTATCATGTGCAGACCTCTACTTTTGCCTTTCTACCACCATCTGTGGTTAAAACAGAACTGCATGCCATTTGCGGAGCTGTGCTTTTACATTCCAGCTGTGTTTCAGTACTGCTCTTCTTTCTGCAAGGATGGTTTTAATGGTTTGAGGAATCATCATGGTTACTGGTGCACCAAAACCCACTGAAAGTAGGAAACACTTCCGACAAAGCATGTAGAAGAAGAAGAAGAAAAAAGCCATATGAGTAAGGTTTATAACTGCCACTTTTGTTCGGATCTTGCTTTGGCAAGGGATGCAGACCCTGTGGCGGTCCCTAACGGTTTTATTGTATAACATCTCTAGTCTCCAGCACAAAGTACACTTTGTGGATGTCAGACTTGATGTTTAACTGTGCCATACCGTCCTGGATACTGGACTGCAGATGATTGACGATGGCAGCGAGGATGGTGGACAGACTCATGATCTGAGCGCACTGTGCCAGACCCAGAATAAACAACTCATTCCAGCATGCTCGCACCAGAGCTGTGTTACATTCCTGCCTACACATACAGAGACAGAAACTGACATACTCTAGAGAGGATAACATGCATAAGTACAGAGAGAAACCCCACAACAGAGATCTCACCCGAGAGCAAGGAAGGCTGGAATAGAGCGCGCCCAGTGCATGGAGAGGAAGAGCAGGCGTGATGCAGACTCACAGATATAATGCACATTCAGATACTCGGGCATTGGGCTTGGCATCATCAACTAGAGCGAGAAAATAATCACACACTTAAGACTCTCTTCTATTATTTAAAATAGTAAAACACAAAAAAAAAAAACTATTTTTATTACAAAAAATCTTACATTTTGCTTAATTACTATCAACAGCTGCAATTAAGCAACATTATATGTGACCCTGGAGCACAAAAGCAGTCTTAAGTCACTGGGGTATATTTGTAGCAATAGCCAAAAATACATTGTATGGGTCAAAATTATTGATTTTTCTTTTATCCCAAAAATCATTAGGATATTAAGTAAAGATTATGTTCATATTTTGTCAATTTTGTTCAAGATCATATTTTGTAAATTTCCTACCGTAAATATATCAAAACTTATTTTTTGATTAGTGATATGCATTACTAAGAACTTAATTTGGACAACTTTAAAGATGATTTTCTCAATATTTTGATTTTTTTTGCACCCTCAGATTCCAGATTTTCAAATAGTTGCATCTCGGCCAAATATTGTCCTATCCTAACAAAATATTGACCTTATGACTGATTTTGTGGTCTAGGGTCACATTTTCACACATGCTATATGAAATCATGTTTATTTATACTGTACTTTATATGATACAAATTATTTTGAAGCACATTTACAGTAATAAAAAGTGTGCTGTAATATTCTTCAACTAGGAAACAATATTTTCAGTTATAATTACAAATATAAATCAACTCTACAGAAGACAACAACGTAATTAATCATCTCAATTCACTTATTCTGTGTTCTTATTTGACAACATGAAATACAGTTCATCAATGATTTACTGAAAATAAACTGTCCCAATATTATAATTGTCACATTAACCAGTATCAACTATATCAAAGTGAAATATATTAGGAATACTAAAAAAGACTATTATAACACACCGCTCTATGCTTAATTATTCTGTAACAGACATTCACTGGGGGTAAAAAGGTTGGAATAATTAAGATTGTTTTTGAAAGACGTCTCGTGATAATAATAAATGTTTCTTGAGCAGCAAATCATTATATTAGAATGGGTTCAAACAATGTAGGGCAATACTTAATATGATCTATCAGGAATTTATTGGATGATGAAAAGTGAGTCAGCCTGGAATAATACTAATCAATGATAAATAACAGAGAGGTACAATCTACAACAACAAAAACATTTTAAGTATTTTTATTTTTATGTTGACTTCAAGGCTTTTGCAAGAGTGTGAGAATGTCATGTACACACCTTAAAGCTGATGTGTGTGTCTGTAAGCAGAGGTCCCTCGACTTCTATGAGTGGTGAGATTTGATCCCTGCTGATCACCTGTATTGTAGCTCCACCCACCCCATCCACCTCTGACAAGCTCTGGCCCTCCACCACCTCACTGGGGTTCAGAGCTTTAGCTAGCGTGTCAAAGGCACTGCAACACCAAAGACATCACACTCAGAAACAATTACAAAAAAATACATATATATATATATATATATTTTTTTTTTTTACCTTGTTTTGATGGTACATTTCAAAACCAGCTCTTTGAAATTTACTAAACCTTATGTCATTCCAAAACTGTACAACCTTCTCTCTTCTGCAGGAACACAAAAGAAGAAATCTGTACAATGTTCAGGCTTCTCTTTTTTAAGATGGCAACCCTGACAAAGAAATAAAATAATAACACCAAACAAGTACCATAAAAGTAGTCCATATGACTTGTGTGCCATATTTCACATCTTTAGGAACCATACATCAGGTTTGTTTGAGGAATAAATTATAAAACTAAGATGTTGCCATCTTCTTTTGTTTAATGGTGAAAACAGAAGAAAGAAGTCATACGGTTTTGGAATGGAGTAATTTTCGCTTACACTTTATTTTGATAATCCACTTTAGACTTAACTTTGCAACTACATGTCAACTAATGCTCACTAATTCACAACTACACAACTACTAACTCTCAGAGTAGACTGTTAGGTTAGGTTTAGGGTTAGTAGAATAAGTTGATATATAGTTGCAAATTTTCTCATAGTCAGTATGTTGTGGACCCATCAAAATAAAGTGTTAGCAGATATCAAGCAGACAGTCTACTAATACTCTAATGACTGCTAGTTGACATGTAGTTGCAAAGTTACTTACTGTTAGTCCACTTTAGACATTCTACTATCAAAATAAAGTGTTACATAATTTTCTTTTTAAGATCACTTATTCCTATAACAAATACCATAATTTTGTATCTCTTTCCGTTGTGAAAAACATACACAACTATTGTCTGCATTAATAACACACCGTGTGATTTCACTGGGTGACTCCTCCAGCTCTCCGTTACTAACCGGATCATTCAGGTTGGCTAATGATGAAACCACATTTGCCAGCGTCCCCAGATCACCTTGTCCTGACTCCGCCTGATGAACAAATAACATCCTCATATATATTTTAGAGTAAAACAGCTACAGCTTTTTTTTAATGTTTATAAGATGCATAATTATATATATATAAAAAAAACTATTTAACAGCAACAAATACCAAAACATTTTGTATCCAGGACTCCCAACCTTTTAACTCTCAGTTCAACCCCTCTGATACAAATTATTATTCTTGAATAACCCCTTAAGATTTCATTTAATGCTTAATCTTTCAATAAATATGACAAACAAATAAATTCATGACAACTCTTCGTATATGAGATCAGAGTAAAACGTTTTACTCATTACAATTTGACATTTTGGCAATCACAATCTAAAGACACACAAGGTCACAAACTCCAGCTTGGAAAACCCCTGCCTGCACACAACACAAAAGAAAAAGAAAACGTTATGTAGATGTTTTTACTTTGTCTGTTGCTAATAGTAATGTGCCATCAGCTTGTGTTAAAGGTTGTTGGATATTGACAAGCATCCCAGAGTCCAACAGCCTGGACCTGCACAGAGGATTAAACCATGACAAAAATGTTTAAATTCATTAGCTTAGCAAAATTAACTAAAGTCAGCCAGACTAAAGTCAGCTGATATACTGATGTCTAAGAAATAAATAGTCAAATCAAGTAAAGCAACAGTACATGAATACCCCGTATTGAAATACACTACACTAAATACTTAGTTCTAACTTGAATTATATTAAGCTAGGTGTATGCATCATGTATAGCATGCAGATGCTTTGTGAATGTGAGTCTCACTGTGAGGCATCTTTCTCAGAGATGAAGGTGGGTGTTGCAATGAGGGGACTCCGCAGGTCTTTCCTGATGTAGATTTTCTCTGTGGATGCTGCACAGTTGGCAGGTTTTTCTCTAGGAAGATCAATGGGTTTCCTCTCACTCTGTACAGCTATATGAGTAATACAAAATGCATAAATGCTGTGAGAAGCTTCCACATTTTCACTGTGCAATTATGAAACATTCAAAGGGGCCACAATTTACACATTTGTGGCATTTTATTTTTGCCCTGAAGTCCACCAAAATGTCTTCATAATAATACTGTGTTCTCAAATCCTGCAAGACTGTGAAATCGTATGTTTGTTTGTGGGAAGGTTGTACAGTATCATAGTCAGTTACGACATACAACATGGGCCAGTGACAGTTTTGTACCTTTCTTTCATGGTATGACCATGTGGTCAGATTTTGTGTTTATTTATGCACTCACACTCCATCTTCATGCCCATCTCCAAGCACTTCCTGAGACGACAGAACTGGCAGCGGTTGCGATGGTGTTTGTTGACCACACAGTCCTGGTTACTGCGGCAGCTGTATGTCAGACTCTTGCGCACACTTCGCTTGAAGAACCCCTTACAACCTTCGCAGCTGACTGCCCCATAATGCCTCCCTTCGAATACACAAACCCGCACATAGTATATTTAGAAATACAAATATTATATTTTGAAATAATAATACAGTGTAAACAAAAATATCCAACGTCAAAAACATAATACAACGACCAACTCACATGTAACAACTTTACTCTCTTATTTATAGTCTAATCAATCTGTAAAGTAGAAGATCCAGGTAAATAGGGGGCGCTGTTGCATGCAAAGCATGTAGGACGTGTTTTCGACCACTCCCTAGAGAAGGCAGCAGATTTATTCACTTGTTTTTGTCTCATTAAATGATTTAAAACTTGCTTCAAAGGCTCAGAGTAGACTTTCTAACTCTTTTTTCTTGTCCCAGCCATCCTCCTGTTGTCTCTGAGTGGCTTACATAAAGAAATAGTTCAGCTTTAGGCCATCCAAGATGAGTTTGTTTCTTCATCAGGTTTGGAGAAATGTAGCATTGCATCACTGTCGTGAATGGGTGCCGTCAGAATGAGAGTCCAAACAGCTGATAAAAACATCACAATAATGTGAAAGTGACGTGACATGTGGCCATACTTGAAATTAGTGCTCTGCATTTAACCCATCCAAAGGGCATACACAAAGCAGTGAACACACACACACACACCATGAACACACACCCGGAGCAGTGGGCAGCCATTATTGCTGCGGTGCCCGGGGAGCAGTTGGGGGTTCGGTGCCTTGCTCAAGGGCACCTCAGTCGTGGTATTGAAGGTGGGAGAGAGCGCTGTACATTCACTCCCTCCACCTACAATCCCTGCCGGTACGAGACTCTCTAACCATTAGGCCACGACTTCCCCGTTTAATCCACACCCATCAGTCCATCAGTTAATGTCTGGTGAAAGGCTACGTCTTTGTAAGAAGCAAATACATAATTTAGGCCAGGGGTGCCCAAACTCGGTCCTGGAGGGCGGTTGTCCTGCAGAGTTTAGCTCCAACTTGCCTCAACACACCTGCCTGGAAGTTTATAGTATGCCTAGTAAGAGCTTGATTAGCTGGTTCAGGTGTGTCTAATTGGGGTTGGATCTAAACTTTACAGGACATCGGCCCTCCAGGACCGAGTTTGGGCACCCCTGATTTAGGCTGAAATTGTTTGCAGCCAGCCAATCAGATTAGAACTGGCCTGGGCCATTATCATTAAAGATGATAGTAACCATTGGCATCAATAGTCTTTACGATCTACTTAGGCTTACAGTGCTTTTGGGAAATGCATGATTTCAAATGGTGATTTCAGGCATGTTTTGCTATTTCAGCATGCAATACTCATCAGATGGTCTATGGGCAACACATGTCTGTCATATGTAATGTTATGTGCTCTGGCATTATTCACATTGAATGTGTTTGTACCTGAAGCTTTATCTCCACATACCACGCAGTATTCAATAGGCTGTGCTCGGCTCATGTCTGCCCCTTTACCCAGAAGCCTCTCCACTGACACTGCATCTGTTACAAACTACCAGAAAAGGCAGAAGGATTAATTACTTGGCATTCAGGGTTGTTGATGATGATGATGACAAGGATAAAAGTAATTTTCTAGTTCACAGATGGGTATGACAGTACATAGCCTACTGTTTAAAATACAGTAAAAATGCATCATCTAAGAATGAAGAAAAATTACTAGAATCGGGGATATCAACAGCATAGGCAGAAAAATCTGTAAATTGCACCCTGGATATAATAATTCACCTTTTTACGATTGATATAAATATTTTAAGATTGAAATGCAGGGTCTGGGACAAGAGTACAGCCATACAATCTAAACACAAGGCATTTGGAAAATAGCATAAATAAATGAAGACAGGGGTTAAAAATTTTTTTTTTTAAAGTTACTAAATGTTTTAATGTGGCCTAAAGCTGAAATCTGTTCAGCAAAAATTAACTTTACAGTCCTATTCTGCATGTATATACTATGTATTTATTATAATAATTACAATAATTGGGGAATAACTACCCTGATAGCAACCAACCATTGAATAAATGTTAAAAATTGCTGATTTGTCAATGTGCATTGAATCAACATCACTTTTGCACCTGCAATTAATGTTGAAAAAATGTTGAAATTTCAACAAACCACCATTATTATGATCAGCGTTTGCTTTAGTTGGGCTCTTGAATCTTCGTACTTTAATGTTTCATTGTCTCTTGTAACAATGTGGTAAAATACATTTGTTGAGGCCATGAAAACTAAGATCCACTGGGATCAGGTGATGGTGACTGAAATCATTGTGAGGTTATTTAAATAACTGCTCACAAGTGTGTTGTGTTTTTTATGTGTGAATAATGTGTGATACTACAGTGTCAGATTAAAGCAGTGGCATGGCTATCATACTTCTATGAATTAACAAAAAAATGACTTGTTAAATTGCTGAATCAATCAGACATCAAGAATCAGCGTATAAAACTCAACAATGGTGAAAATCAACAAAAGAAAAGTTTATGCTGAAATGCATGCTGGGTATCAACACTCCCAGGATGCATTACAGTTGATCTCAATTAGTTTGATGATTGTCACCGTTGTTGAGGTTTGTATGATGCCTAAATCTTTCTGCCACAGTATCTTTGCATTTGTGAAACAGAACATTTACATCAGTAAAGAAAGATCAACTTCAACACTTTTTAATATTATTTCTCAACTTTATTACAGCTTGACACCCATGACAAAAAACAGTGCATATAGAAAAACTATTGTTAGCACTGAAAGATAATTAACTTAATGACAAGCAAGAGTCAAGAGCCCAACTAAAGCAAACGCTGATCACAATAATGGTGGTATTTTTTCAACATTAATTGCGGGTGCAAAAGTGATACTAATTCAATGTCATTAACACTGACAAATCGACTATTTTTAACATTGATTCAATGGTACCTGCTCTCCTGCTATCTGGGTAGGTACCAACCCTGAAACTACCCCTAAACCTCATCTTAAACCAAGTTTATATTCCCCAGTGTCTTAGATAAGCTACACTATAACTACACGTTAGTGCATGAACTGAAAAATAATATGCAAAAAACCGCTGAGATATAAGCGTGCACACAGTTGAAGAAACACTGATGCATTTATGTGACTTCACACCTGAATTCGTCCAGGCACCAGGCTGTCAGCAGTGGCAAAGATAAGCTGTTTGGCACTAGTACCCTCAGGTGATGCCAGGATAAACTGCTGTTTGGGCACAGTGGAGTCCAGTGCTGTCACTATCTGGATTTTTTGACCCGTCTGCTGCTCAGTAAATATCTGAAAAAGAGAAAGAGTGTGAGTGTGTCTGAATGTGTTCGTGCACCATCTACGATAAAGCGTGTGTGTGTGTGTGTGTGAACCTGTATTCTCTGGGGGGTTGTGACAGAGGGGTCAGTGGAGATGATCTGAATGCGCTGGGGAGAGGAGCTCATCACTGAGCTGTCTGACGCAGATGACTGTACCTGCAACACACAGTAAATTCATTTTCATCTGAGGGGCAAAGGCAGTGTGTTTCCACACTTCAACAAAGTGCCCAACAAAACAATGGAAATATAAAATATAATTCCAAGTTAGCCGTTATGCTTTCTCCAATATTAATTAATACTGACCCTCTCATCTCCCTATAGTAAGACAATCTCTGCCTCTTCTGCAAGCATTACATCACTTACAATGGATCCTCTGCAGTGAATGGGTGTCCCTCATTTAACGTCTTGTGAAGTGAAAAGCTGCATGTTTATAAGAAGCAAATCTATCAAGCTGTTTTTTTAAGAAATCTTACAGATTTCCGCTCATTCGAAATCGGATACAGATGAAGTAGCACTGTAAGATTACATTTGTTTGAATACATTATCGAGAGAGCGATTGCGTGTGAATAAGTGTTGTAGTACTTGTTTAAATCATGCTTTCAGCTGAAAATATTCAGTATCTAGAAGGAACAAACAAATTCCTTGAGAACTATAACTTCCCGCTCATGTCCATTGCCATCATCGTAGCCTTCACACTCTTTCTGATTTGAGTGATCCATCTCTATCAAGCTAGCTAAATATGTTTAACATGTGAATTCTTGCTAAATATGCAGCAGGGCTAGCAAAAGTTTGGAGTGAGATTTCATCTGTTAGGGGAGGAGCCACTCGAATATTTGCAGCAGCGGCCCTTCGGTCCCGCCCAATTCTCTCAAGTTTTCGCTGGCAGTTCAATTTTACCTAGTGTTTACAATTATCCAGCACAAATAGAAATTATAACAACTGGTAAATCTGATAAAAGACAGACAAATTCATCCAAATAAAATTGATTTATATATTTAAAAAATACAAATGTATCAAAAATAAAAAGAAATTTAGCCCTAAACGAGCCAACTGAACAGCAGTGCTCATATTGTATGCAGTGGATGTATGTCAAGCTGTCTGTGTGTGTGCGTGTGTGTGAGTGAGAGAGAGAGAGAGAGAGAGAGAGAGAGAGAGAGAGTACACATTTCAGCTTATTAATGTTTTTTTGTTTGTTTTTTTCTGTTGTAAGTGTAAAAATTTCTTTTTTATTTTTGATACTTTATAGTTTTATATATATATATATATATATATATCCTTCAATGTGGCTGAATTAAAACAATTCTGCAAAGAACAGTGGGCCAAAATTCCTCCACAGCGATGTGAAAGACTCATTGCCAGTTATCGCAAACACTTGATTGCAGTTGTTGCTGCAAAGCGTGGCACAACCAGTTATTAGATTTAGGGGGCAATTACTTTTTCACGTAGGGCCAGGCAGGTTTGGACAGCTTTTTTCCCTTAATAAAATAAATAATCATTTAAAAACTGCATTTTGTATTTACTTGCATTATCTTTGTGTAATATTAAAATTAGTTTGATGATCTGAATCTTTTAAGTGTGACAAACAACAAAAAAAAAGAAATCAGGAAGGGGGCCAACACTTTTTCACACCACTATATATGAGTTTATTTGGATGAATTTGTCTGTCTTTTATCAGAATTGTTCTAACATCTCTAGTACTTCCCTTAGATTCAGGTAGCCAGAGCTAAGCTTCTGGTTGCAAAGCGGTTGGAGAGTTCTTGACTGCTTCAATAATAATTTAGCACGATTTTGACTATATTCCCCAACAACAGCTCTCGCTTTATTTGATCACAGGCAAGTGATTTCGTCCAGAAATCATAAAATCAAAATGCCACAAAAAAAAAAGAAAAATTAAGGGGTTACCTTACACAAAATTCATCGGATCTTGCTCTTCCAATTGCACACGCATCCATGTTACTTAGTAACGAACATGCTTGCAGCGGGATCACGGAAACTACAAGGAAACAACAACATCCTAATTTCTGATTGGCTGGTAGGTGGCATTTAACTCTGTATAACTCGAGACAGCTATGAACTCGGCAGAGAACTTCCCTCCATATAGAAGGAGTCTGACTGCTGATAAATCCAATATTTTGAGATGGTCCTCACTGCAGAACAAGATCCAGGGGGCGTGGCTGGATCCAGATCCAACTCCTCCCACCTTACATATATCTAAACCTACCCGTCTCCACCCCCTGATCCCTAAACCCACCCATCTCCACGCCTAAACCTACTCATCTCCACCCCCTAGATGTGGATCCCCCTGGATCTTGTGTTCTGCAGTGAGGGGCTACTGAATATTTTAGGTTGGTTCTTCTGTCAGGCGTGGTTCAAGCAACACGAAAGGGGCACAGGAGAGGATCATTTCCAGCAGTTAAAACTTTAATTATCAAAACAAAAACACTCGGAAGCACAAAGTTCATGATATAAGAACAGAAAACCATGATAGTAGTTATGATGGGAATTAACAAACTAAACTGAAAAAGATTTTGGGCGGATTCCAAACAGCTTTTTTGCACCCTTGAAGGGCACTTTGGGAAGGGGACATCATTTGTAGAGAAGTTCCAAACAAAAGTGAACAACTGAATCTCTTCAAAAAGGGCCCTTCCAGAAGTCCGTTAACGAAGGGAACATGCGATGGTCACTTCACGGAAGTGATTTCTGTTTGTGATCATGATCTTCGGTTAGGAGGTCTTGGGATGTATTTTAAAGCAAAGTTGGGGTTGATTTTGACTTCACATACAAACATAAATAGAATAGGCTAATTGAATTTGTCTTATTTTAATGTAATACAACAAAATATTTTTCATCAGTGATAGAAATATGATTTAAGACGGTAGTGTAAGCAAGTTTAGTTTGAAAAAGTTTAATAGTAAATAAGACACAATTACACAATATTTGAATAAAACAATAATAAAAAGTAGAAACATTTATTTGCAACGACTGATGGAGTGCTGAATGCTGCACGCAGGCACAGCATTGTCAAGGTACACAACCCATTTGTACACTACCCTTAATATTGTATAGTAATTGTAATGTTCTAGTACATTTTTTATTTAAAAGTGTCTTATATGATGTTATTTGTTTGTCGTGATGTATATTATGTTTATTTAATGTTGGTTTTGTTATTTATGTTTGCACTATTATGCACATTATGCAGAATGTTGTTCTGCTGAACACCTGTTGTAAGTCTAGAATTACAATAAAGTATTGAACTTGAACTTGTAAAATCTGGTCAGGCATTCCCTTGGCCAAGGGAGTTCCAAACACTTAAACGAGACAGCAATGCCCTACACCCTTCAAAGAACACACTTCAAGGGTCTGCCCTTCAAAGGGAGTAGGCAGGGGTTTTCAACATTTTAGGACACGCGCCCCCCCCAAGTTTGTCTAATTTCACTTCAAATGTATGCGCGGTGCGCATAGAAACGCTTTATCACAGCGCGTGCGTATCGCACTGAGATGTCTTGGGCTTAAATGGCTTAAAATTACTTTAATGTTTAAACTGACAAGACTTAAAACACGTGAGAATTAAATATAGTTTTGGGGGGCTAAGGTGACAGATAAGGGGGCTGAAACCCACCTAAAAAGGGTTTAGAACCACCCCTGGTATGGCGTGCGTAATTATACTGAACATAAATATATAACCAGTTTACCTGATACAATGTGATGGCTGAGCCTGTTTCTGAGATAACAACATGCCAATCCGTGGTTGGATTTCTGACACGGCTAACCGTAAATCATCTTACACTGTCAATAAGCGTGACTGATACTCGAGCCAACTCTGCTCTAACTGTCGACTAGCAGTGGGAGTCAGATTGCCCCCTAATGGATGGCTAAAGATTTGCTAACTCATATTCATAAATCCTCAAGGAAATGTCTCTGAATTAACTGATGCTCGCGCCCCCCTTGACAGGTGCTGGTGCGCCCCACAGGTTGAAAACCCCTGGAGTAGGGCATAGGGATGCTCACTTCCGTTTGGAATTTGCCCATTGTATATACAGGCAAACAAGCAACATCACTGCGTAACCATGACAAATAAAGTGTAACTATGGAAACAAAGGGCATCTGAAACTAAGGAAACCAAGCAAACAGGAACTTAACACAGGAAGGAAATACAGTAACCAAAGGAAACAGACAGGACTATAGACAAGTCCCAAGATGGCACAGTCTGAGGGCAAGGAGGATTCAGCCTCCGTGCACCCTTCAAGAACTTAACGATCAGGTCGTTTCTACCGATTGATTGGCCAGCTTCGAGAGAATGGTTCGCTGTGATAGCTGCCACATACACTTTGAGCGTGGAGGGGGCGCGCCCCTTATCCAGCAGCTCTTGCAAAAAGGTTAGCACATGGGACACGTCACATGATACTGGGTCCAAACTTTGTGCAGAACACCAGTTAAGGAACACCGACCATTTTAAGCTGTAAAGTCGTCTTGCAAACGGCGCTCTTGCCTCCAAAACGGTATTGCTTACTCTCGCTGGGAGCTGATTACGCTCCCGTCGAGGCACCATACATGAAGGCTTCACAGCTCCGGCCGGGGATGCCAAATCATGCCTTTCGCCTGCCAGAGAAAGTTCCTCCTCAGCAGAATGGGCCGCGGGGCTGCTGCTGAGAGCACTAGCTCTGGGAACCAAGCTGGGTTCCTCCAGAGTGGGGCCACTAGGAGGGGAGAGCACTTGGTCTCCCTGACCCGCCTGACGACCTGAGGCATCAGAGCGATCGGGGGAAACGTGTATAGGTGAGCACTGGGCCAGTCGTAGGCCAGAGCCTCTTGCTGTATTGAGAAGTATGTTGGGCAGTGAGAGTTGTCTTCTGAGGCAAAGAGGTCGACCTCTGCCCTCCCAAAGACTGACCAGATCTCTTGAACTGTTTGAGGGTGTAGCGCCCATTCGCCCGGGGCTACCTTGCCTCTGGACAGCATGTCTGCGCCAAGGTTCAATCTGCCAGGCAGAGAGAGGAGTTCTTTCTGTGCCCAAAAAAGGAGGTGACGAGCCATTCTGTAAAGAGTGTGACCTGAGACCGCCTTGGTGATTGATGTAAGCCACCACCGTGATGCTGTCCGACTGGACCAAGACGTGGTGCCCTTTTAAGGCTGAAAGGAAGGTTTTCAGGGCTAAGAAAATCGCCAAAATTTCTAGGCAGTTGATATGCAGGCATTGCTCTGGGGCTGACCAGGAGCCGAGCTTGCCCTCCAAAAGCCCCAACCCGAGTTGGACATGTCCGTTGTGGCTACCTTCCTTCTGGAGGTCAGGCCTAATTGATGCTGTCCGACTGGACCAAGACGTGGTGCCCTTTTAAGGCTGAAAGGAAGGTTTTCAGGGCTAAGAAAATCGCCAAAATTTCTAGGCAGTTGATATGCAAGCCGAGCTTGCCCTCCAAAAGCCCCAACCCGAGTTGGACATGTCCGTTGTGGCTACCTTCCTTCTGGAGGTCAGGCCTAACCTTGTTTCTGTTTGGAACAGGCAAGAGGTTGTCCAGGGGGCCTCAGCCTTGATAAAGCGGTGGTCTACCCTGACAGGAAGCCGCCCCAGGCGCCAGGCGTGGGGTGGAACGTGGGCTTTGAGCCCAAACTGAAGGGGCCACATGTGAAGCAGGCCCAGAGGAATTACAGAGGTGGCCGCCGCCATAAGGCCGAGCAACCTCTGAAACACCTTTAAGGGGCGTGTCGCCCCCAGTTTGAGACACGCCGCCAATTGCTGAATAGTCAGGGATCGTTCCGGGGTAATCCATGCCCGCATTTGGGCAGAGTCTAACATTGTTCCCAAAAAGACAGCTCGCTGTCTGGGCAAAAGCTGACTCGAGGCGCTCTAAGTGGCTGAGTAACAGCTCTCTGTGAGCAGCCAACTCCCGTTCTGACCTGTCTAGAACCAGCCAATTGTCGAGGTAGTTCAAAATACGGATTCCCATCTGTCTCAGAGGGGAAAGAGCCGCATCTATGCACTTTGTGAAAGTGCGTGGGGCCAGAGACAGTCCAAACAGAAGGACTGTATATTGATAGGCCACTCCCTCGAACACGAATCTCAAGAATGGTCTGTGATGGGGGCTATGTGGATGTGAAAGTATGCATCTTTCAGATCCACTGTCAAAAACCAGTCCTCGGGGCAAATGTGCACGAGGATCTGTTTGATAGTTAACATCTTGAACGACCGGCACATAAGTGAGTGGTTCAGACATCTGAGATCCAGAATGGGTCTGAGCCCGCCATCTCTCTTTGGAACAAGGAAGTAGCGGCTGAAAAAGCCTGACTCACTGTTCGCTGGGGGCACTATTTCCTTTTGCAAGCAATGTCTGCACTTCTTGTCGAAGAACGAGCGCTTCATTGTCCGGAACAGAAGTTTGAATAACGCCTCTGAAGCGAGGTGGCCTGCGAGTGAACTGAAGCGAGTAACCTCGCTGAATTGTTTTTAAAACCCAACTCGACACTCCTGGAATGGCTGCCCAAGCCATGAAACAGGAGGCGAGAGGGTTTATTTTTGCAAACGAGAGCTCGCCGAGAGAAGGCGGGGAACTTGCATTCGCGTGAGTGTGTGAGAGAGTGTGAAGAGGAAATTTGCTCTTTATTGTATGTGGGTCTGCCATCACAGCGGTAAAAATATTCGGGTACGCACTGCACCTGCAGGATGTGACCCGCTGGAAACGAAACTCCATTGGTCAGAGGTGCTCGGAGGGATGGAGGATGAAAGCGAGCTGTTTTGCGGGGCGTTCCAGCCGAGAACAGAGCCCCTCCTCTCCAGCACCACCAAATTGGTCATGGTCTTGCCGATCACCTGTGCCATTGCTTTCGTGGCATTTCGTTTTGCAGAGCCAGGTCTGTTGCTGTGTGCAGCTCTTTGAAAGCCTCCTTGGTTTGAAACACTTGGAGAACCACCATTGTATGCAGCGCCGGCCGCTGCATAAGCCCCATTGACGAGCCCCGAGGTGGTCCTGCACTTAGAGGGATGTGCTGCGTGGGCCTTTAATCCAAGGGCAGATGGTGGGCACAGATGAGCAGCAACTGCTTCCTCCAGAGGGGGGAGATTGCTGTATCCCTTGTCGTCAGTGCCGTCAACGGTGGCGAGAGCCGCTGCTGTAGAGGGATTTACTCGGGCCGAGTAGGGGGCATACCACGTCTTGGCAAGCTCGTCATGAACAGCAGGCAAGAACGGGGCGGGGCATTGGCGAGAGGACTGTTGACGGCTTCCCGGCAGGTCCCACTCATCTAACAGGCCGTGGGCGGGCTCTTCCGGAGCTGACCACTCGAGGCCCAGATCCTCTACCGCCTTCGACAGGACGTGGATAAGTTCGGCGTCCGGTTTCGGCTTCAGAGTTTGAGAAGGGGGAAGGACTTCGGGCTCTCCAACTATACAAACTATACAATCATATAAATTAAATAAAATTATAGTAAGATTTGTTCTTGAGTGTCAAAACTGCTATTAATTAACTGCACTGAGATTATCAGATAAGAACCTAACTTGAACTGAATTGAGTTGAACGATGAGAGCTGCTTTATAGCCGAATCAAATTTGTTTCATAACTGATCAACTGTGTAACATCAACCACATTCTTATTAAACCAAGCTGAATCAACATTGTACTGACTTGACTTGAGCTGAATGAGCTTGACTTGAGTGACGAAGGAGCAGAACACACTGCAAAAACTGGTCTGACAGATGCTCAACAATGGCCTTACACTGGCCAACGACCGACCACTGGCTTGGTGTGTCACGCAACCTTAAACATTTAAATCACCTCGTTTTGGTATCTCTCTCATATCACTCACCCCTGAAACCTGCTCAGCGGTCAATATCTGCTGAGCCAGCACCTCCACATTGGTTGTCATGGTGAAGTGAAGTCATTAGAAGTGTCTGATTGGACAAAGGCCAGCTCTGCAACTGCCAGCAACACCTCCACCTATGTGCCAATCAAATACAGATATTAAAGAATAGCCAATACGTTTTGCAAGCACAAAAGAATGTTACATGCAACACTTGAAATTAATATCTGCAACTTTTGGAAGATTTCATAGGTGGTTTGTTCTAGGCAGGAACTAAAATAGTCTTTAATTCAACTCAAGCCCAATTATACTCATCGTCCACTCTTACATAAATCATATAATTCTATATAGCATTACTGCAGGTAATCACAAATTTACAATGAACAACATTAAACAACATTTAGTAATTTTTGTTGGTTTTGATTTATAAATATAATATTGTTCCTTATTATTTCAAATTAGTTCCTCAATACATTAATGCATGGTAATGTAAAAAACACTCAGGGCCTACATGTTAGCAGTGTATTAGTGTAAATGTATAGGCTAAATAAACATTAACCAGTATTAAGAAACTGCTGTAAAAGTTTTGTTCAATGTTAGTTAACAACAGTGTTAACTAATGTTCAAACTTATTAATGTTCAAATGATGCTTCCATTTGACAGAGCTGAACCTCTATGTATAATGCAAATAAAATGTTATTCTCTTCATATTTTTATTTTATATTTATTTATAATTTCCCCCCCAAGCTTTAACAGAACACTTTATACAATTAAGGTTATAACTTTTCCCCCATGATGACCCTTACCGCCAAAATAATTAAACAAAACAAAATAAAATAAAAATACAAGATAAACTTTACAATATTTTACACATTCACAGATGAACAATATCATTATAGGAATAATAAAAATAAATAAATAATTGCCTAGACAATAATACAATTTAATACTCTGACACATTCATAGTGGTCTTTACATAAATACAGTTGTGGTCAGAATGATTGGCACCCTTGGTAAATATGATCAAAGAAGG